CTCCCGGACGTTTTTGGAACCGGCGAGGCTGGGGGGTCTTTCGTGTCCTCGTCAAAGGGCTCCTTAAGCAGAGTATTCACGAAGAAGGCCCTGGCAATCTTGTGGTGTCTTGAACACGCGAGCCTCGTTTGAGGCGACAGTTGAATGCGAACTGTAGGTATTCACAATCTAATGGCGGAGAGTATAACGGGCTTTCACGTGGGTCGCACAAGTTGGTATGATCACAAAATGGTGTGGTGTATACAATATGGTGTGACCATACAATGGTGTTGCTACGTTTAAACAAGAATTCAGTACGTGGCTGGAACTGCCAGTAGTTATACATTTGATTAGGTCTTACTGTATAGATAGGAAAACCTAGTGGTTTAGATATAGGCGGCTTTGCCGCAAATGAAATTGAGAAATACAGTCTACGTTTTAATCAGCAGAGTTAATTAGCCTTGGGTTAAGGTTGGAATTCCTATTGGAGTAAGTGGATTGCGATCCGGTACACTCGTACTAGTTCTAAGAAAAGAACGAAGGTCATTGACCTCATCAAAGCCAAAGAGCTACGGGAGCCCCGCTGCACATCACCATTATTTCAAATCAAGAATCTCGCATTACAGCAAAGTACGTTGTTCAGATTAATCTGCGCATGCCCATCGCAGGCAGATTGTTATATGGAATGCTTAGCTTTGTCGGCGACCCTGAGAAACGACGAAATATTTTAAGTGGGGAGTCTAGCAAACCTTTATGAACAGTCAGCTCCACACATGAGAGAACTCAAGTGATAAAGACAGCCAGCTGTTTTAAACCCGGATGCGGAGAATAGACTACTACACCTCCCACTCTTTCAAATTTTTTGAATTCCTTCCAGGAATATCGGATATCTGGTTACGCTTTCTTCGCAGAGAGACCGCGTTACTGGTGCGAGCTGCTCCAATAAATAATTGCTATAATAATAAGCACTGTACATGCGTGTATATTCGGTACATTTTATAAAAGATCGTTTGGCTAACCTCTCTTTTTCTGTAACCCGCCGAAGAGTGACTCAGGTCTAGGTGAGGGGAATGCATTTCAGCCTTCAGATATTATCTTTATAATAGTTTCTTGCAAAATCACATTCCATTTTCTGAGTGCTCGACGCTACAGCTAGCAGCGAGAAAATTCAAAAGCAACACGCCGATTTCGGCGGCAGACAAAGCACTCGAAGAAATATCAATTAGAATAACGGTCGTTTTTGAACGCTCCAAAATTGCTTACACTCGCAGTGTCTTCAGTTTAAAAGACTCAGTTGTGACCACACTATCAGGAACCATTCACGATTGTCGTCGAAGTGGGATCGAGCTATCCCGTAAGAAAATAGCACGCTTTTTGTCATTTTCGTGGGGTTGTTGAAGCCATATGACGATCCCTATCTTACAAGCTAGTTCCTGTAAAACGTTTCGTTGGAGACGAAACAGTGTCTCATTCATCCTCTGGAGCTGAGTTTTCATGTGCACCTAGGATGCCATACAGTGCCTAGCCGCTGGTGTTGCTCCAAATCCCTTAGTGCGGTAGCTTATTTTGGTTATCATAATAAAAATAAAACCCATCTCAAATCTAGCCGCACGCGAAGATATCATGAAAAAAGCTGAGTTGCCGAAATCACCGAAAGGGCTCACGGGTGTCAGCTGCGAAACGGTCATCCCACTCAGTCGCTGATCAATGGACAACGGTGGTTCACTTTTACGTGGAGCGGTTGCCGGGTCGGCACGATCGCCCGGAGCTGTTCCCAGTATCTAGCGAAGCAGAAAAAATGTCCTCGCTTCGATGCATATGAGAATTGAGGGCCCCATCGGCAAGATAGACCTGGCGTTGCTGCTTTTATGACTCGGTGCACCCTCATCTTAGAAAATCTTGAATAAGAGGTAGGGTCGCTTAACGCAGCAAATCCTTTCCGTAGCGTCTGAGGCTTGACCGTGTTTCAAGTTTGATAATTGGTCGGTAGCTGTAGTTACTGTCTGGTAGAAATAGCTGAGCTGTTAGTTATAAGCACTAAGGTGGTGAGTTATCGCCTCGACGTTTGTATAATCAAGCAATAACCAACACCTCAGCTTCACGTCTGCCTCCCCTAGAATGTAATGCGTAATTAGCACTTTACTTTTTCAATCAATACCCAAGGTACAGTATTTGTAAAGAACGGATGCATCCGATCACTACCGCTCTAATTGCAGGTAGAACTCCAAATAGCTGATGCGCTGTGAATTAGAAAACACACACGGAGCAACTTTCATGCGTTCGTGATGTTTTTTGTTTTAGCGGAGGATCCGCGCGCACATACGCGTAAGGGCTCCGTCGTGGCGCGATGATCATAATCAGATGGATGATACATGTAATCACAGCGTGATCGAGAGTGCAATAGTCGTTTTATCGCTTGTGCTTACAGACTAGTAATCTGGGCTTGCGTCAACGTCGCAGCATTTCCCACCGCAGAGGATGGTACAGAATGCGTGATTGTGCAAAGTAGCTGTGTTTCTAGTTGAGTATGGACGTGTCGGATCAGACTTCGGAGAGTTTGCACCTTTTCAAGGCTTAATAAAGTGGTGTATACATGGGAGGACTCCCAGTACCAATATAATCTAAGCACATTTGTAAACGCAATTTGAGGAGTGCGGTGAGTAGTTGCCGATCTTTAATTTTTTTCTTTATCATAGAGACATAAGAGATGCGCGATATTGTCATCCAGAGGTACGAGCTCGAACAAATTATTGTATACCTCAGAAGCACCAGAGTACTGACACTTACGAGGATGATGGAAACCCGTAAGGAATACTTTGGGTTCTGAATCTCGCGAAGCACAATGCATACACTTTGACGAATGTATGCTGCTATCAGAAATTGATCGGTAGCGATGTTCCCATCCCAATATGTACTATACTTTTCTTTAGAAATGTCAAGGCAGCTTGCGGATTAGCCAAACAATTTTAAAGAGATAATATTTGAGCAGAAAGTTTTCTTTAGTTTAAGAGCAAGCTAAAGGAGATGTCATTCTACATTGGAAATGCTTCACACGACTGCTTCAGGTAGTATCTTCCGACACGAAATTAACGTGTCCTGCCAAATCCAAAAGTCGCAGCCATCATGACTGCAAAAATCACGAACAAAATTTGCCAGGGTTTCGCTTTGAAGCACAAAACACACGTGGAAACTAAGGTTCCAGTAGAAGAAGCTACTGTGGGATATATCACAACTCTCCGGTGGGCATTTCTACCGTGGAAGCCATCAGCCCCGTAGTCGATTCTGTGGCGGAAGCTGATGCTCCAGTGTTTCATAACACCAGCCCGTTTGGGGTTGATCGCGTATTATCACTGGATAGCAGCGACACGGTGCGAGTCGGTTGTGCTACCGAGGTTCCCTTCATTGCCGGCGCGTCAAACGGAGCAGGAAACTTGAATGATTCAGGCATTTCTGAATGTTTACCGCCAGCCCAGTAAACACTTTCAGGCGCATTTTGACTTTTTCTGGCCCTTGTACAACCCATTCCCAGTATCTTTAAAGGTCAACCATAGATATAAACTTACCAAACGTATCTAGCTGTCCAGAAGAGCAGCTCGTGTTTTATCCTCACGCAAGATACAGTGCTACCAACTAACGCGGATGTGTCATGCGCCTTGAAATGAAGTAGCTCTTACTTGGCCACGCTAACTAAAGCATAGATGATGGAATCGTACGCTCCACCCAGGGGTGGAATTTGTAGCCTGTGAATTAGTTAGCCTTACGTTTGTTCCTTTTTTCGTGAGCGACATAGTTTTGATTAAGCTAACACGAAATATACTTGTTTTAGTGTGGAAGTATGCATCACGCTACGTGGAATTAGTTGCCCAAGTGTCTACAATCTCTTCCCTACGGAGTTCCATTGTTCTCATCAGTTTCGCTTTCGTAATTCTGAGTTGAATAATATACACGTATATGTAATTTCATGTTGTGTCAAATCTGAAGCGTCAACGGCACCAAGGCACTCTCTCAGTCTCGGATCGTTCTACTTTGTTCGATACTCGTTGATGCGCCGGTCGACCAACCTATCCCTCAACATGGAAGCGGGACTCCTCCATCTTGTCGAGCAGACGCGATGGATGACGACGCTCCCGTGGCTGGCCCTCATGAGGTTTCGTGGATGTTGCGGCGCGCACTCTTCCCAAAAAGACTGCGTGCGGCCGATATTTACGTAAATATCTTTTGGCTGCTCTTGAGCAACTGGATTAAACGATTTGAATCGCCAAAGCGACGCACAGCAGAACACTGCTCTACGTTTACAGGGGATGGGAAAGCATTATATCCGTCTTCATCTAAACGCTTCACCTCACAAAAGTGTGGTCGTGGAATCACTTACGTGAGCTCATGTAACACTCCGGATGTATTAACTTTATGTTAAGACGATTGATTTAGCCTCAATATCTTTCGGGCTATGATCGTAACATGTCCAATATGACAAGACCGCAAGACGCTGCATGTGTAGGTTGATTAATAGCATTGATCGGCAGACTATGGCATGGTTACGTATCCTTGCATTTCAGTCTTTTGTGGATGATGACGGGAGAATGCTAAGGCTGTGAAGCGCAACCGGCCACTCATTAGTCAGTTGGTCTCCTCTTCACAGGCTCAAGACTGGGTCGGTAGCTGTACTGGCAGGTTAATGAACATAAATTGGGCCGTTTACAGCAAAACCTGGACTTGATAAGCCTCAACCACGACGTTCAAGATGTGCTTTGTCCTTTATAAGATCAAGCACTGAATAACGCTATTGTCGGACTCCTGCATCGCCGAAGTCAGCTGTGAAGCCGAAGAACGACGTGCCTACTTTCCAGGCAAGCGCGTTGAGTCGTATAATTTCGTCAGAACTTGATAGTAGCAGTGTTGCTCGAATGGTGGGTACAGATATAGCGGACTGATGCTGCTCTGGTCGCAAGGGGTATTCCCTAGGAGGCAGGCGCGGTCAGGAAGCTCTTTTAAACATACTCTTGCTCGCACATCTGCTCACCGAGCGAGGAGAAGGCCAAATCGCATAGCTTTAAAGGGCGACGTTTGGTGAATCAAATTTATACTCACGTCGTGTTTGGGCTGAAGCGACCACCGAGTCTTGCTGCTATTCTTTCGCATTATGACAGAAAATGTCGATTCTTGAGCCAAAGGGTGCGATGATGTTTATATTATGTAGTGACTAAGTAAATACAACTTCGAAAAATAATGTGTACATTGTGTATTAAATCTCATCATGACCTGCAATGGCGACGACGCCGTGTATGCGTCCATCTTGAACCGCATGGAGCCGTCGGAGCAACTTAAGCTGCTGCAAAAGGTTATGAAAAAGGAACACAAAGCAATTCAGCGCCGGATATGTCGAGTATCCGAGTCTTTGTCATCCCTGCGTCAGCTGCATGTGGCGGCAGCGCGTTTAAGACCTAGTGGTGATTGGATTTCAACGACGCTGCAAACGCAGCTTAAGAGTATCGAAGAGTTTCGTCAAAAATTGGAAATCGCGGTGGAGAATTTAGAAAATGTTATTGAAGTGGAAAGGAAAAAGAAGAGAAGACGACGATTTGACAAGGAGATAGCAGGTTTTGAGCGCAAAGTGGTTGTCGAAGAGAGTGGCAAATACGTTAAGGAAGCAGAAAAACATGGAATCGAAATGGACTCAGTGAAGAGGGAAAAGGAAATTATTATAAAACAAGAACAAAACGGACCCTATGTCGACTTTTTTGAAGTAGAGGACAATGCCGAAAGGTTAGAGGGACTAACGGTCAGATTCAGGGACATTGCTAACTGTGGAGGATGTGAAGTTTTAGAGACTTCTCAGCTGAGTGAGAATGGAAAGCCAAGGATTGAGATAAAAAACCACCATAGGGAGGTCGGAGACTCAGTTTCTAAAGTTGTTACGACTGAAGGCAATGAGGTGGAGGATGGAGAAATAACGCCAGGAAAAGAAAGTGATCATGACTGTATGAGAAATGTCATCGAATTGCCGTTTGGTTTGATTAGTGTGACCTCTGAAACATCAATGAGAATGAAAATGGAACCAATGACGTTACAGGACTTATATACCAGAAAAGCTGACAGCCAAGACATTGCTCAAGACAGGATAGCAGTACAAGACGAAGTGGAATCTCCTATTGAGCTTCAATTGCCAGAATCGTCTGATTCTGAGGAATCGGGGCTATAGATTGCGATGTAGAATTGGTGGAAGGAACTGTGCGGACAAATTTTCTGTTTGCGCGAAGTCGTCAAGGCTGTCAACGTCTGTTGGGTGGTTGCGGGATGCTTGTGGATGATCAAATTACCAGATCGTAGTCATGCAAGTTGAATATTTATTTGCACTCACGCTCAATACTACTGAGATTGGGTATGGTGTTGTACTGTTATTAACTTGGCCCATCGTCAACGTGGGCATGGTATTTTTAGTGACTTTGAAGTTTCGCATGACTAGAAATTGAGATCAAGGTGGATAGCCCATACATTTGAGATTGGCTAAACAAAAAGGTATTGATGACGCTTGTCTGATTGCTAGCATCCAAGCTGTAAGAAGCACTCAGCCTCTTTCTTTTTAGAACGAAATGACAGCCAAAAAGTAAGCTTTCGTGAAGCTCAGTACTATAATGAGCGCATTTAAGACGTACGCAGATTGCTGCGTGCCACCAAACATGCTTCTCGCATATTGAGATGCGATATTTCGACAAAATTACTTCAAGAGGCTCATTCGTGTGAGTATCAGCTAGCTGAGAAACCACAAGTATTTGAATTAAGTAATGCAGTCGCACGTTCCTGTCCCAAAATGTATAATAATTGGGGTCAAAAGTGCTCTCATTTTCATGGTAAGCCCGACTCCTTGTGATACAAGATCTTTCTTACACATTGATGCTTGCCTTAGTCTGTTAAGCAATAGATCAGTCATTCACTTCGCCTTGTGTACAGCCACGCGAATATATTTGCCATTAAACGGATAGCCATCCATCCGCAATGCGAGAGTCATACCCTCCAACGCAGCAAAGCGAACAACAGCGACTCCTACTGTACTACCGTCTGTCATTGTGGGCATCTGGACCGACAAGACCGCGCCAGCAATTCCAAAGTATGACGAAACATCTGCTTCATTTGTAGTGCCCCACGGCAGTTCAGACACAAAGACCTCGTACGGACCATTGTCGCCGGCAGCAGCTGTATGCTCCAACTTCACCAAAATGTCTGATGTTGGGGTCGACTCTACCCGCTGTTTTTTCACTTTCGGCTCTTCTTCTGCGTCAGGATTGGTACTCGAAACTACAGTCTGAGGAGCATACGCTTCTCGTTTCCTTTCCAGTAATTCACTCGATGATCTAGAGATTCAAAACGAATTATTTACACTGCAGAGTTTCGTAAAGATAAAGAATTCCACGTACCTAATATACTCATCGATATCATCATGCACTTTTGCCATCTTGTTCAGTACATTGCCCATCTCTTCCAGCGTTGTCTGACTCGTCAGGGGACTGAGCAGCACGGCAGAGATCAAGTGATCTAATACCAACACCAATTCATTTCGCAGTGCCTTGTCAAGACCCGTGAACGTGTCATTTTTGATTATACTGGCAATAATATCTACGTCTGCAAAGTTTTTTTCAATCCATGTATCGTTGCGCTTGCGTGTGATGCGGTGCTGAATCTTTCCAAGTAGCTTTAAGACTCGCTCGCGCCTTTGCAGCTCGCTCTGCTTTTGTTCGGCATCAGCACTCGCCTCTGGAGCCTCAGCTTGAAGCTTACGCTGTTCATCAATGAAATGTTTCAGATTGGCGCTAAATTTTGAGTATTTTCGCTTGATCTCGACGCATGTGGCCGCATTCTCACGGCTTAAGGGTACATCCAGCTTGGCCACAGCTTCTTGAACCTTTTGGGCTTGCTCCACACTCTCTAAGCACGCTTTCATGCGCGTTTGTAGGTTTCGAAGCTCGTCTTCAATAGCTGATGAGCAGTACGAGCTTAAGGCGTCGCCACTTACGCGCGCAAGGATGCGTTCGAACCCACTCATTGCCCAAGTTGGAAACCTGTACGAATTTTGTTGAAATTTTTCGTCATTGGTGTGGAGAGGTACCGAAGTTTAGTAAACGTAAATGGTGTTTCAAAATTAGGTTTGGTGAGCCTCCGCATTTTTTTAAACATCATTTTTTCAAATCTCGCATACTCAAAAATGTTCGTGTGCAGATAATTCTGTATTATTGCATGAATTGACTTTTACCCGAGAATTGGCCATGTCCTCATGATCTGAACTCTTTTCAGGTCTGCATACATTCCTCATTGCGCACGAATGGGCGTGTGTAGCATAAGGGTCAGTACCAAATGAAGGTAAGTTTGTCATGGTAGTGCTCCAGCGTAATGCAAACATAGAGACAGACATTATAAAGTTAGCAAAATTGCGGGCATTATATGTCAGTATGGCTCTCAGTTGAGCATCTTTATCAACAGCTTGCAGCGTTGAATTTATCGTTTGCTTCCATCGCATCATCTACGATACTAGAACCTTGTGTCATGCATCTTGCCATAATTGAGATTGCGGGCGGAGGCTGCTCCTATTGGTACTTATAGACATGGTTTGGGAATATTCGAGTATGTTGTCAACTAAAGATTGATGCAAGAAAGCTGTCATGCGCCACGCACAGAGAAAGCCTTGGGTATTTTGGGCACGCTTTAATTGATACAAATACGACGGATTGCACCAAACCATTCTCTACTTATCTTATTAAGAAGGATAATTTTTTTAAGTAAAGTAAGCGTGAATGTTCTTAGATATCAATTTTACTATCTGAAGTAATTGACCTCTACATACTGCATAGCACGAAGCTAGCAGCATACGTACCCCACCGACTCAGAGTCTAGTCAATGTACTTCACCGTATTGCTTAAAAGGTTCGCTTGCAGTCCGAGGGGCAGTAATATGAGTTTAACGCACACAATTATAGGGCTCTTACACCATCACAACGCTCCCACACGATGCACAAAGTGAAAGCTATGTGAGCACCGCCGAGCCAAAAATTTGTCTTCCCCATTACAAATACTAGTTCTAGATCTCACGAGCATTTATCACAACATAAACTAATTTATCGAATTTCTTGATTAGCGATTCGTTAAACAAGCTATGCTGTTTTTACGCTAGCGAACTGCAAGTCATATTCAATGAGGCATAAAATGCATCTGAGGCATTTTAAAAGAAAGTAACGCTCCGAGTTTCATTCAGACACCCGCGACCACATCAGATAAGTTCGGCATGCGGTACCCCCGTCTACAAAATCTTTCCAAGAGATGCGTCATTTTATACGCTCCGCCTCCGTCACGCTCTTTATGCCTGCTTTTAAGGGCGGAGGGTGTATCGATACCTTGCCGCAGAATAAGAGCAGGAGTTGTAGCTATTTTCGACCGGGTCGTAATGAATTACATACAGTCACAACTGCTCTATGGTCCACGGTGAAGCCCTTAGACATCTTTGTGTGTGCGCCATCCGTTCAATCGGTGATCAAAACACTCGCTCGGAAGCTGCCTCAAGAACATATTTTGACCTCATTTTTTTGAGTGCTGTTTACGGTTGGCGTAGCGGCTATATAGTAAATCGTTCCTTCATGGAGAAGTACCAGCAAGTATACGATCAAATCTGTGCACCGGGGGGGAAACTTGTAACCACACCCGTTTTACAATCTTACAAGCTAGCTCTGCCAACTAGATTGTCATTCAAAGCTTGCCATCATCGACGTCAAGTTTAACGCTCAGCACCTCACTTTTCTCATATTGAAGGACATGCTGGTACAGCTACCGGCCAAGTCTCGAGCTTGCAACCGGCCAGGCTTTACTCGCTAGTGGTAGGTGCGATCAGCTGCCCGTTTAAACAGAGCTGCCCGTTTAAACAGAGCTGCCCTCTGTTTGCCTCTGTTTAATGTTTGGAAATGTTTACACAGAGGGTGTGCCAAGTTGATGACACAAGAAGAATCTCACTGGGGTGGAACCGCAAAACTCACAAAGGTTTTCACTGCGAGACCAAGTGAAATCAAACATATATAAATATTATAAGAGACGCATTTTGTGGCCGGATTCCATGATCTGTCTTGTTACCAATAGTTGCGAGGTGCGGGCAATACTGACATGAGTCATTTTTCAAATATGTTCGTAATGCTAGGGAATTTAAAAAACAATTGCTCGAGCCATTCGTCAGAAGCTCATCTACACGGGATAGTTGAGATAAAAAAACTTCTTCTACAAATATTTTGCATCCAACTAGCTCGTGCGAGCGAGGTTGATGGCTGGCATTTCGAAACCCAGGCAGTATTCGCATTCCTTAAAGGTTATAAGGTTGTAACTTAGCTTGCGTCCGAGTGGCGCACGAGAGCGGAGCTAAAATACAACTTTAGTAAGAACAGAGAGACAGAGACTGTAACTTAATTGGCTCCGATCTTCTCTGCTACAAATCCACAACCTCTTGCTTTGTGAGATCAACGCTAATCCAAAAAGTAACAAAACCATCTCCGCAAATGTAGGTAGGTTATCAGGGGTTGATAAAATCTTGCTATCAGCTATTAATTGTTGGTTGTTCTGCTTACATCTACTTGCTGCATGTTGCTTTTGTGTGCCCGCATGTCAGTCATTGCGTACTTCCCTCGTCACTTGTCGTCCAATCCTTTCAAGATGAATTAGCCAATTTTTGCAACGAAGAAAATCCATGCTTCTCCCAGCAAGTTGAGCCGTTCCAATAACCCTTCCGCCAAGTTAAAATCTCATCGTGGCGGTGTTCAAAGGGAGCGGACGATGCTTAAAATCTTATATAATATCGATACAAAACCTAGAGAAACACGTGCTGCGTTAATTCGCGCAGATAACTGGATGGGCTCATTTTCTCTCGCATCATATCCGCCCCGCGCATTGCTTCAGAGAATTACTTCACTACGCGATTACCCGGATTTTGTTTGATAAGGTGTGTGGGCATCTAGTCGCGGTGAACATGAACATTGTTGCACCATACATCTTTACACAATTCAACAGCATATTGCTGGAAATCGCCTATGGCGGCTCGAAACAATTCTTTCTGGCAAGCCAACTTTACAGAAATTGTCCATATACATTGTCTGTATCGTCACCGGTGACAATGCTGCTGACAGCAACGAGAAAATCATTTTATTCAGACCAAGGTCTGCAAGACCACAATACTGGTACTACCGGACGCGACACCGAATACAAAACTCATTCACCAGATATCTGCCGGAACCAGCAAACTGGCCAAGAATGCTGAAGCATCTGGCAAGAATTATACATATTGAAACTTTTCACATTCGGCCACATATAAATTACTCGTTGTAAATATTGGCCCAAAAGTATGCATCGCTCACTGACCCGCACGTCATTTATATAGTTATACTCTCAATCATGTGTTTTATATCTGATACCATACTTTTATTCTCATTATGAGCTCTACACATTCTTCGTACTAGTGCGGTCCGTCAGTAAGAGAGCGAAACTTGAAGCGAAAAATAGATGTACCAAGCGCTTAGACATATCTATCTCCGAAATTGAAATCAGAGCTTTAACTGCGTGACATAGGCTGTGTCTAATCCGTACACTACATATCGCTTTGAGGTGCAAGAAATCTAACAACTTGCAGTTAACGTGATGCAAATGCGCACTCACCACCTCAATCGGGCAAAATGAAATATCCTTCCTCAAAGGGTTAAATTGCGAGGGATGTTAATTTTCCATGGGAAAAATGGGTTATCGATGTCGCTGTTTGCAGCGACATATGATTGGTACTGATTATACATTGCTTTGAGCCTAGGAACTGCGCCTTAATATTGATGATAGTACACTTGGTAGCAACAGCTATTGTCACTATTTATTAAATCATTTTTGCCGTTTTGAGCTGGTAAGAAGCATATATAATTAAGCATATTGCTCATTGGCGTCTACTTGGAGCACAACACAGTATGAAGTAAAAGATGAAGCGTAACAAACAGCATAAATTGCTGATTTAGGCTTGGAGAAGCCAGAATCGGCCACGTATGAGGTTTTATTCCATATCTTTATAGACCGCCTTTTCTACCTCCCTAAGGAGTACCTGGCACATTTTTTTTCCAAGAAATTGGTGAGGATATGTGCCATGTCGGTATAATCTGAACAGAACATATGCAAGTGGTTGGCCAGGCCAAGTCAACACTTGAGTATATATGAGACAGGTGTATTGTCTAATCTGCAGTGGCCTTATCTCGGCTAAATTACTTACAGGTCATGCTTATCAACAAAGTAATCCAAATTGGGGCATTTAAAAAGCAGTCATAGAGCCCTCTGTGTACTTGCTTTTGCACTGAGAGATATCGGCGACTAGTCCATGCCAAAAGATCTTCTTTAAGTGGATCTATCCGAGCCCTACTCGCAATCGCTCAATGTGATGCTTCACATCCGACAAACAGTGACCAATTCGGCAATGAAAAGTATAAACTCAGGTTGCACATATAAACGAAGCGCTTTAAACAGCTGCGTTTCCAACGGATGATTAGCTTAATACAATGTGCTGGTCAAACAACGTGCAGATTCTCACCCTTTCAAAGATTGAGCTCTTGCGAGTGACCGAGCTCTACTGTCAAGAGCAAATCTTTTTATTAATTGAAGCTGTAAATATTTCGCTTGCTCTCGAGCGACGAAGATCTGAAGCTCTTTTTAATTAGAAAGCCACTGGGGTGTAGAAAATAAGGCACTAGGTATTGGTGAGATGCAACATGTGTGCGTTGCTAAGGCTTTGGAAAACACGGAGTTTGAGAGCTCAGAAGTTACAATGCGCTTCCACACCTATACCGCTTAGCCGTACAAAAAGGATTGCCAGGGTTGGTGAGATGTTGCGAGATCTTTCTAATTATTAATGTTCGCCTTAGTGTAGATGTTTATAAAATATGGAAGGTGAGGTTGCTGTGTAGCTAGTTGGATAAAGTATGGAGCTCTAAGTAACACGTTCCTCCGCATTTTCGTTTTCAATCATGCCAATATCTCAAATACGTCGTGTATCTGTAGGCCTGGGTTAAATAGTGACTCTTATATCTTTCTATGAAGAATTACAAACTATTCTGGGCTAAGGAGGATTAAACGCATGAACATTGTATGCTGCAGCGAATACCATTCCAGCTTGAGTTCAAATGTATCGAGTATCACACGACTATCGCGCTTAGAATATAACCTTATAAGAAATAGAGTGACCTCTTAGCTACTTAGCGGCACCATGGTACATGCAGATGTTGCATCCGACATCAATGACCTACGCTTCAGTCTGTCTTGTTTGAGATGCACGAAATGCTGGGCTAGTACAAATGATCACCCTCGAGAAAATATTAGTCTTACACGCGCATGGTGGCTCACCAATAAAATGAGGGTATATATTAGACCTCGTTTAGACTAGATTAGTGATGCGCAGCCCCAAGAATCATGTCTCTTGCTAATTAGGATAAAAACTCCATCCCAGGGCTCCGGCTGTCGACATCAACATTTATGCTTTGTAACGCCACTAACGTATGACACGCGATTGTCTCCAACAATTGACCGTACGTGGTGGCATTAAGGATGACATATACAAATACCATATGCGTTAGTACTTCCGTCTGGGACGTTGGCTAGATGGCGGGAGGCCCTTTTGTACGTTCCTGTAAGTCTAAAGCTATTGGACTCGAGTCTCAAAATACCAACTTATTCTAGGTATGGTCTGAATGGAGTTTCACCAGCTTAAAAATGGCTGGGAGTCGAACACATTACGTGCCATGCACTTCTTTCTTTATAAATTCAAGTGGATTTGTAAAACATTTATATCAGAAAGCATAAACTTTATAGGCGCCCGCGTGATGCTGCAATAGCTTTGGTGCAGAAAATAAGTTCTTTCAGATTGATGAGCTGCTGCGGTCTCAGAATAAGTAATAGCGATCGCGTCTCTCCAGTAGTTTTCTGCGGAAAAAGTAAAGTAAGGGTTTTTGTGGACAAATGATTTAACCAAATATTATGTAAGAGAATTGTTCATTGCAAGACATCGTCTTAATCAACATACACGTAGTCTTACCAACCTTTGCTGGCTAAACAGTAACAATACATCTTGGTACTATCCTCATTATCAGTCTATAGCAGTTTCTAGTCGAGTAAGAGTTTGAGGCTTCGCAGAAATAGCTAAACGACTTCGTCTTGAGGATCAGGCGGACACTCTCAATTAAGTTGCAAACACATCCAGGGAAGCTGTCTTCGATGGCTCTGTTTATGGTAGACTACATACGACAAAGAAGCCCTGTTTATTTACTAAATCATGAGAGCCACAAGACCCTTCATCTTTCGCAGGTTATTTTGGTACCTTGGTGTAATGTGGGGTACACCACGGTACATCACACTCATAGAACTCGTAGAGCTCAAAATTGAATAAAGCGGCGATTTTCCCCTGCAACGCGCCTATTATCCTGGTCTCATTACCAGGCAAGAAGGTTTAAATGTCTTTTTAAAGGTAAGCTATGAATGATTTAGTGTCAGCGCTCGTCATGTGTAATCTTAATATGTCGTTAGAAGTTACTAAGGCGATTCAGATACATATGGTGTGATTGAGATGTCGAATTTACGCACTTAGATTTGGCAATATTTAGCACTAATTGCAAACACACGCCGTATGTGAGCGTGGTACTCTGCACAATACAGCTTATAGTTGGCTAGAAAATATTCATCACTACTCGTGACAATGAGTCTAAGGATTTATTACTCGATGAGGATTCTCGCACATGCGCGATAGCCCTGTAGATGGCTATACTTCTCTCTTCTTGCAACAATGTCGCTTTAACAGAACTTTGAGAGTATCGCGTTGGCGATTTAGTCGATCAGACCAGTATCAGAAGCAATCTCGAGGATTCACTCGATGCAGAGTATTAAAGGGTTGTTGAAACTTGTTTTCAATCTTTAAAAGCAGACAAGCAGAAACTTTCTAAGGCACACCATTTGTATGATTGTATAGTCTGCAACGCGTTCATATCATTATATTCGTTAATTTGATGCAGCAAAATGTCATATTTGGCTCTTCCCCGCTGTTTGAAAGAGAAAAATAGTGATAATCTGCTTGGTAATTAGCTGAGGATAAATCATCATAGCAGACCATCCTAGTGCGTCTCGAAAACAAGTAATTCGTATTTGTGCGACGCATCATGTCGTGCAACATACCAAAGTAGAAGTTCCCGTTGCCGTGGTGGCAATCAATTGATCTATATAAGAAGCGCAAGCAATAAAACTAGCGGCGCAAGATCAGTCCTAGCGTGTCTTTCGCTATCTAGAAAGCATGATAATCATGACGAGCTAGATCTCACACGCATCGTCGAGCATGGATGTCAGATACAATTGTTACTATGTAGTGCGTTGGTCCGAAACACTCACTAAAATAATTATAGCTTGCAAATTCGTTTGGCTAGCAATCATGTTGCGGATGAGTCAACATCATTATTAATCTTGTAGTGTCAAAAATAAGTATCTCGCGTTAGTCGACAATATCTCTCCTAGTTTCTGCGTTGAGTTTGCTAAAGTTGCTACTTGCTTTTTTGAAACCCAAATTGGCGGTAGAGAATGTGTACGTAGGTTTGCTGCCCGTGCTGATCTTTTTAATCGTGTGACCCATGCTTCGCAGAATGGGCTGAGATTCACCGCATAATGTGCGTGGATGACGTCACAAGTATTACGTTAATGTTCACAGTTACTATCATGATTAAGGATATTGTACCCGAACATAATGGTAGTCGTTCACTGGTCTGGCTAAATAAGGTTGCTTGTAGAAGCTGCCAGAATGATCTAAACGGATAGGCTTAGATCTAACACAGAATTGCGAACTAAGGACATGAATATATTCACTTCGGTTCTATTAACAAACCAACATTTTGATCCACGACTCACGATTTGGATAAACACCACTATTTAATAAGCTTAAAAGCAAGTATTGTCGTATTGCCTCCTTAGCTCCTTGCTGTCAGTGTGATATCATTTCTCGCTGGTAGCTCTGGGCTCTTGTTTTCTCCGTAGTGTCAAGGCGTGCACAAAATTCGATTGTTTTTCGGCAATATCTGGCACATATATTCAGGTGGATGGTTGCTTTTTTTCTTCCATATTTGCTGGGCATGACATGCGATAAATTAGCGTCGTGTACATCATAGAAATAAAAGATTTGGCAGCTACACGTGTCTAACAAAACTGACCCTCTATTTGATCAATTGAAATTTCAAGCACATACTGATTGGTCAAAAGAGTATTGGCAATTAGCCCTATGTTATATATTTTGTACGTAATTAGCGCCGTTTTTATCATATTTTATTGGCGAACACTTTTGTGTTTGTGAATAATGATGAATAATTCTGCTAAATGAATAACTACATGTCTGCCTATTAATATATATCTGCTACAACTATAAAGATATGTTTGTCTCCAAAGCCAGCTTTAAGGCAATTAGCATAAGTAAGTATGACTTCAAGTTCTAGTACTACTCAAGGTTTGTAAATTGGGCTTCATGTAGCAAAATGTACGGTGTATTTGATCACTCGTTAGCCCACTAAAAAGCGGAAAAAACGAGTAACTTCTGCTCTCGCGGCTAGCTTGTTTGGGCATCCGTACGGCTGACGAGTAGTGATATCAAATTATTTCGCAGGAAGATTTTTTGCTTAGTACTTGATGAAATTCGCCAAACAAGTGAGGGACGTATTTATTGGTTTGTAGTAATCAAAACCGACCCAAATACTGGTAAAGCTATATTTCGGACTGGGCATCTCAGCTACACTATCAAGCAATTCAGAGACAATTTGGATTGCATCGACCAGGTTTAGAAGAAAAATCACAGATTAGACGAGGAAGGTCACGAAGGCGAAGATCGTTACAGTCAGGCATGAAAGCCTATCGAAATAATATGCTTCAGTCGAGAGGCATCGTCAAGAGTAACTGATAGTTTACACTGTACGTAAGCTTAGTGAGGTTTTGACCAAACTACAGATCCCCAGAAACATTATTTTGCAATGAATTAGCTTCTCATCTCTGATCAGCTTTAATAATGAAAAACAGTGTAAACAGATTACAACACTGTAAGAAAATAAGCTAAATCTTAAAAATAAAGTTGATGCGCAAGCTTATAAGCGAAAATCACTTCGTGCTCGGGAATGCGAGACTCTTAATTGCAAACTGCTACAACTTTGCTTGTTAAATGACATTGAATGTGGCAGAATCATTGACCATGTCATCTCCATTAAAAATTAGAGCATTGTGAGAAATGTTATGCTGTAAATTCGTCTAATTTAAACACTTTCAGATTTATTATGTTTGAGCTCAATTTTAAGTTATCATGGGTCACAAAACATTACGGATAAATTATCTAACTTACCATTGTTTATACTAAATTGACAGCAAATATGTTGATTCATCTCCTTGCTCCTGCTTGCTTTGCTTTGCTGCAACAGCATGTTTAAATTTACAGAAATTAAAGAACCCAATAGCATCGTTTCTGTCGTTGGACAAGAACTTGATACAAGCTGTCGTCTAGTACGCATAAACTTTGCTCAATCTTTTGTTACCACATTATTAAATACGTGATATATTTTTTTTGATTGATTGGCTACGTTTAAAGAGCTTAAAAGATGACAAATATCACTCTTTTCGACCACCACAACCATCTTCAGACTTAGAATCTTGCAATGTTGTGGACTCTCTCTCGCTATTCAAAGCCTATGGCACCTGCCATGGCTCGTTCCACTTCATCACTCATGTCGGACGTTCATGGAACTACACACGGCAAGAAACATTGGAAGAATAAACCGCTTTTTCGCCGCGGGGGTGACAAGCGGTTCCGCAATGGTCAAGAGGCTGCTGATATGCTGATGGACGAAGTTATTCGTCGTGATCCCAACCAGGTATGAAAGTCTTTTATAGATTATATTTCTTTGTTATTAAACGTTTCCTACTTCCGTCTATAGAACGAGTATGTGCAGGCTGTGCAGAATTTTGTCAATTCCGTCGTGCCCGTTTTTGATCGATATCCAAAGTACGCATGGGTAATGAAAACATTGATGGAGCCCGAGCGTGTGATCCAATTTCGTGTCCCATGGATTGATGACGAAGGTAGCAGTCGTGTGACCCGCGGCTTTCGTGTGCAATTCTCGAGCGCTCTTGGTCCGTATATGGGTGGCCTACGGTTCCATCCAGACACAACTCATGGCACTGCCAAGTTTTTAGGCTTTGAAACTATTTTTCGTAACGCATTAGCGGGTCCATACGGCGGTGCACACGGTGGTTCAGATTTTAATCCAATGGACAAGAGCGAGTCAGAGATCATGCGCTTTTGCCAGAGCTATATGACAGAACTGGCTAACTACATTGGTCCTCATACAGATGTTCCCACTTCTGGTGTTGGTGTTGGCCCACAGGAGATTGGATATATGTTTGGACAATACAAGCGACTGCGTCAACTACACCCTGGAGGGACAGAAGGAATTTTAAGCGGAGGTGCCTACCACTATACTCAAGTTACGGGTTATGGCGTTGCACACTTTGCTAATCGCATTCTTAAGTCTCGTGGAGAATCATTCAAGGGCAAACGTTGTCTGATCTCGGGAAGTGGCACGGTGGCTCTAAACGTGGCACACAAGTTGTTAGATTTGGGTGCTATTCCGATTGGTATGAGTGACAACTTTGGCTATGTAGTTGAGGAACAAGGCTTTTCACGCAAGGGTTTGGAAGAACTCAAACGTATTAAAAAGGAGCGCAATGCACGTCTAGGTGCTTACATCATGTCATCCACTACTGCCAACTATTATCCGAGTGAAGAAGGTCGTCTTTGGGAGACTCCTTGCGATTATGCCTTCCCATGCGCGATACAAAACGACGTGGATGCTGAGGCCGTGCGTTTGCTTGTCAAGAATGGCTGCAAGGGTATCTTTGAGGGTGCCAACTTTCCCTGCACGGACGAAGCCATCAACATTATCAAGCAGCACGGTCTTGCCTTCGGTCCGAACAAAGCGGCGAATGGAGGTTCTTTTGCGCTGATTAACAAGAACATTGGTTCATCAACGCAGCTGTCCGACAGCGAGCTGGACAAGATTGTGGAAGGTGCGTTTCGACGAAAAATCTTACGATTATGATATATATATTGACATGTTTATGTGTAGAGTACATGCACAATCTTCACGATCGCGTAGCAGCTACTGCGGAGGAGTTCAATGCGGCGGGCGACCTTCACGTTGGATCCAACATAACGGCGTTTATGAGCGTAGCGGCTGCAATGTTCCGTCAAGGCGTAGTGTAAAGAGGTTTGAGCGTTTCGATTCACGCTCAATACAAGTCAATTTTGCTTTCATTAGTTCTGAGCTTTTGAGCAGAAGTTTACTGAATCGAGCTAGAACGCGCAGTTGTTACGTCAGTAGATATCATGTAATGATGCAGTAACATTTTAACGTTTCACTTGAGCCCGTTCAGTCAAAATGTCCAGCAAACATGATGAACAGGCGCGAGGATACTTACGCACGAAACGACACAATAGCTTTAACGGATACCATTACCGAGCAAAGTTAATTACCGTCATTAGATGATCCTCATAGAAATAATAATATAGATGCCTCCCTTCATCATCGTTGATTATCATTAATGCTTTATCAAGTAGTCTAATTTTTATAAGTTTCTCACAAACAACAATCGTGTCATCATGTCAAAATTCTAGTTAAAAGACCCACGTTATTGACGGCATATCAGTTAGTACGCTACCAGCAGACCAGTCGGCCGTTGGAAACGGAAGGAGCTATGGTGCCGTCAAGTTGACTTTTCAAATAAAAGAGCGTTTAATGTTAACGTCAGACTGTTTCAACTTGAGTTTCTTGGTCCTTCCCATTTCGAATCTTCATTTTGCTTTTGTTTCAACTACAACTAAAGCCTTCACTACGCCTAGCGCGTACACCGTAATCTTGCCGTGAAGATAAGTTTTACTGACTATCAATCATAAATTCGACACTTTTAAAGAAAATGCAGTCGTTCCACGTGATTCTACTGATAACTTTCTTGATTTCGAATTGGAGCAACGTTATTACGTCAAGTGACCTTATCTGTGACCACGTAAGACTTGGATCCCAGTCTGCTACCAAGTGGACTGTGCAGTGTATCACCAGTTCAATCACTAAAAACTCGGCATATTTCAATCCACTATCGGTGAAGAATTTTTACATAGACAATGGAACATCCGTTCTCGCATCTGCCTCGGAACTGAGACTCTCGTCAGCATTTGCTGAAGTTGATTTCCTTGTATCACCTTCAGTCACTACATTTTCATTGCTAGCAGCTCCAGGATATCAGCCGAAAAAACTCGTGAACATTCTCTCTACAGCTTTTGCTGAGCTCTCAGCACTCAGGGCATTGTAAGTTTATCGAGATCATACTAATGATTTGTTTGTAACGAGTTAATCGGAGAGTTTGATTTCAGATACCTGGAAGGAATCCCACTTTCCCATGGTAACCTTCATTTAGTGCTGCCATCTTCTATCCAGACAATGTAAGTGAGCTACAGATAGAAATGGTATTTTGGTCTCATCCTCATTATTGATCCAACAGTTCGATCGTAAACTGCGGACTCAGTAACTTTTCGATTGAGTTTGCTGACAATTCTGCCCTTGCAAACTCGAGCATTTCTTCGATGTACGTCGTCGTACACTCTTTCCGACTGCAGAAAACACTGACGCGTTTACTGTTTGTTCACCAGCGATATTCGTCAGAACAAAATTTACGAAATACCAGCTTTCATTTATGAGTTACCGAGCACAGTATCATTGATTGATCTTCGAGAAAATGTCATGAATTTATCAACTGAGTCTATTACGAACAAGAAGCAGTTAAATTCGTGGCTTGACGTTGAAATTTTAAAAATCGACGCAGATACACGAAAAACGTTAGATTTCCCAGCTCAAGAAGTAAGAAGTTCGATAGTGGGCACTGCGACAGATATGGATAAATCAAAAGATTTGTACAACCATTCTGTTTCAGCCTCGTCAAGAGGCAGCGAAACTGTGTCTACAATGGAGAAAGATAGTAGTCTGGATACAATTCCGGTCGCGATTGTCGTATTTAGTATAGCTACCATTCTGGTTGTCGGCATCATGTTAGCGTTCGTAGCGCGAAAACGAAGGCGAATGCAAATTCACGAAACTGATGAGATTTTGGCTTTACCACATCCTTTCGATAAATCAATTTTACCCACACGATCAGGAAGCTCGAGCCATTTTACTACTACGATCGAGAGTGAGCTCTCTGGAAGTCAGATTTTGAGTGGAGAAGGCAAACAAGAGGTTGAAGATCGTGACACTTGCTTTATTGTGCCAATGTCTCCTACTAATTCGGAACTTTCGTACACTACAACAGCAAATTTGATCAACGCTGGCTATGTTGACCTAAAGACACCACATGAATCAGACCAGCATTCTCACCATGACACTTCAAAGTACGAGCGTAAGGATAGCAATCATTCTCTTGAACTGCTAAGTACTCACAGTACAGCAAGTATGACGGCATCAGATCAGCGAAGTGCGGCTAGAAATACTCTACGATCAGCATTGACCACGTTGCTTTCGGTGAATATCGACCAAGGTGCTCCAATGTTAACTGTTAACACGTTTCAGTATTCTTTCGATCCACAAACTTCGATCGAGGAAACTGCGTTTGCGTTTTTCGTCGAATGCAAACTTGTCAATCAATCTTCTGAACACGCACTGTCCGGAGGATTTCAAGTCAAACAGCTTGTATTGAAATTTTTTGTCGAGGAAGACGTTGATTACGCTGGTCGCGAAAAATATGCTTTAAGGTGTATGTCCAAAAATGAATCAGGTCGCTGTCATGTTTCCCAGTTGTTCGACGACGCGCTTGATTACGATTTACAAGTTGGCCACTTCCATGACGCTATCACATTGAAATGCTCTATCTTGGTGCTGGAGAAACCATTGCAAGCACATTTCGCTTTATCTCGTCAAACTCCAGAACACCAAGTCTCTCTCTTTGTAAATGCTATTCGTGCTGTTCATTCTCAGTCTTTAGTTCATGGAGCACTCGACACGAATAGTTTTACAGCAAATGCATCTGACGAGAATCTAAAATTCTCGGGCCTCGAGCAGGCGTCACGAGTAGATCACAATTTATCTCGCTACGATATGGACATTCTATCAAGCAGCCAGGCAGAATGCTTGCCACCTGAAGTTGCTGCTTATTTATTGGAGGATACGCATCATTTTCGTGCAGCAATGTCGCTGGACATATGGAGTCTTGGCGTCATAATTATCAAAATTTACGCTGCTGGACGCCGTTTGGAAGAGTTTAAAGACTGTAAAACATCGTATGATGTGTTCGAGTGCCTGCGCGATGTACAAACTACTGACAAAGCCGCAAACGGTTGCTTTTTCGAGCGATCGCTTGCTCAATTTGTACCAAACAGTGATATGAAGAGTCTCGTGCGTCAGTGCGTACATTTGAACGCAGCATCAAGACCTTCAATTGACTTCATTGCAAAGCACAAAGTTTTTCAGCCGAAAGAACGCGAAGTTTCTCGAGCAACTACAGTAACAAATGCAGCTACGATTCGAATGCTCACAGCAATTTTTGAAGAGAAACATCTTTTATCGTTACTAAAGTCTACCAAATTACTTCAAGCTATTGAGCCTGAGCGTGAAAGAAGTGGAAAAGAACTGATGTCTGTTAAAAATCAGATCGTAGCACGTGACGACGTTACCCCTGAACCTTTGCCGCCAAGTCTGTGGCTTTTCCTACCACCAGTGGATCTTGGAATCGACTTAACACAGCGCGCAAATTGCTACTCAGTAGAGCAATGGGTTCTCAAGCTAAAACGTCTTCAACAGCAACGTGCAGAGGAAGTGCACTTTCCGCTTGTTTTTATGTGCGAGACGTGTGAAATTGGTTCTACAATCCCGTGCAGTATCACCACAAATACACAATACGGTGTCAGTGTCACCTCCTCATTGCTTTCACTTGTAATGCCACTTGTTCGAGAAACAATGCTTTTTATGGAAGCACGTGCGATTCTTTCGAACGGACTAAGTGTTGGTGAAGCAAGTGGACTCACTGGTCCTCAGCAATGGGAAGAATTGCGAACGTTCTACTGTGCATTAGAACGCATGGAACTTGCTACAATTAATCCGGTGAATGAGATCGAGTTTGCACTGATGGAGCAGCAACTTAAGTCTCAAGATCAAGCAAAGGCGCGAAAAGTGCTTGACAAACTTACAATTTTGAATTTCAGCGAAGACAAACGCGAGTACGTCCGGAGTCTACTCGACGCTTTGGTCAGTGATGAGAGTAACTTAGCTTGTATTGAACGTAGCAGTTGGGCAGCATTGCAACGTTGTAACGTCCGTGGAAAGAACTCATCATCATTTAGTCATACGCGTTGGTTATGTAGCCATCATGCACTACTTCAAAATAAAGAATAAGCTGTTAAGATATAAAATACAAACCTTTTTGAATGTTGAGAGTGTAATCAAGTGCAAGGGGTAATTTCAATAAGTCCAACCACATTGAGTGAAGAACAAGGTTATACAATGTACGAATTCACATTGCACTAAAGTATCGATACTAATGAAAATGATGGGTCTCTGTAAAAAAGATGTCCGTGAAACACGAGCGCTGATAGCTTTCCGGCAAGCAAAAGCAGACATATTTGCTATCGGAAATGTACATAATATGTTATGTCAATCTTGAGATAGAAGAGCAAAGCAAGTACTTAATTTCGTTGGAGCTCCGAG